GAAATGAATGATTTTGAGAAAAGTTCTTATATACGTATATTTCTGTATACCGTCACATTATTATTATAGTATGAGACTAAGCATTCATGATCATAGCTATCTGTAAGTTGTTATTGTTTAGGATCATGTTGAGATCCCTACTGGACTTTATGTTCATCCCACGTTGTTAATCCTTTTTCAGGTGAACGTCAAGGAGTGTTTCAAGGTCATGGATCTTCTTTACTTGTTGGCCACGGGGCCTTTTATTTGTGGGAGAATTCCATTGATGTAAAAGGGTTAAACCCTTCCTCTTAGTTTAAAAGATGTAAGCCTACGAGCAATTTATTTAAATACAACTCTTGTTGCATTCATATTATATTCGGATGAGAGAATCTTTATTCATGTGTTCTTGTAAATATAAAGAATTTTTGTATGTTATCTCTGAAATTGAATCTATAATAATGGTTTGGTAATGGAATCCGAGTAATAAAAAGGCGGGGCGTTACAATGGCGGTAATGGACCCATGGTGATCGGCTTTTATTTTTGGCTTTATTAATTGCGTAGTAATATAAGAATTTAATATGGTATTTAATTAATTTAATGTGTTAGTTAATTATATATAATTAATTTGAATATTTATATTTATATATTTATATATATATATATAAAGAAATTATTGATATAGATTTTATATAAGATATTTATATTTATATATGTTATATTTGTGATTTTTTTGTATAATATAATGTAATAGGGAATTAGGCTATTATATATTTAGACTTAGGTTTATATATATAGTATAATATAATAGTCAATTAGATATAATATTAACTTAGGTTTAATCACTTTTTGTGGAAGAATTTTCAAGAAAGCCGAGAGAGAGAGAGAGAGAGAGAGAGAGAGAGAGAGAGAGAAATCAAAACATAGAGTGCTGTGTGTGGTGTGAAACGGAAGAGAAAATAAAAAGGAAGAAAAGGGTTAGGGTTTTGTTTTGATGGTTTTATTAATCTTTCAAATATTTCTTTGATCTTCAAAAAAAAATAAAGTTAGTACAATTTAATCATAAGTATCTTGCAATGCACCGTTTCATACTTAAATAATTCGAATTGACCAAAACTCAAAGAACAAAAGTTGTATATAATCAAATTTTCTAAAAGGTAGCATGGACGAATTTAGTAGAAACTGAACAGGTTGAGAGAAAAACTTAATCGAAAATCTTAAACGAAATTCGATCGAAAAATACGGAACTGAAAACGAAAAGAAACTGCTGTAAGATGAATTTTTTTGGAAAAGTTCAAAACACGAAAAGTGTTTAGAATAATGTTTTACTTCAATTTACGTGAAACCAATAAAAATGAGCTCGTTTCGTGGGTTAAAATAGCCTCTAAAATCGGCATTGCTAAAATGAATCAAAACTACAATAACCAACATTATTCGATTATAGGTTCTAGTCAATCTTTTTTTAAAAAAAAATTAAAACAAAAAATTTGTCTAGAATCACGTATATATGCCTCTACTCAAATTTCATAATTTATCGAGATCGTTTACTATTTTTCAAGATGTACAAATCAATATAATTCACACTATAACAATAAACTCATATTAAATTCTTTGTACCTTAACTCCACCACTTCGGCCCATCACTTCCGGACTATACATATACCCCATGTGCCTCCCGTATACCTAACACCGCTCCGAAGCCAAACTTGCACGGGGATATCGTCCCGAGTTTGACCCACACTCTCCAGATGGTTAGCATATACGTACGCGCGTAAATCAAAGCACTCATCTACTCATGAGAACGAGGCAACAATATATATACACAATCTCTCATTTACTCATGAGAACAAATATAATAATGCTAAGCCTAAGGCATTCAAATAAATCTCACAATCCTCACTTTTTTTTTTATACACTATTTCTCACTAACACTCAAATAAAACAATAATCCATGGAGTCATGGTAGAGTATAAGGAATTTATTTATGGGTTCCTAAGTTATTTTAATTTCATATATTCATGAGTGTGATTACGTCCACAAAATAAATATATACAAAAACCCTAAACCTTACATATACATCTAATCAAATCATGAAATCAATTCATCATCTACATACAAATACAAAATCAAACCAGCATCAAATCAATAAAAATAACGAATTAAACATAAATCAAGGGAAGTGGGTTTTGTACTCACAATATTTTTTTTAAAGATCAAAGAAATATTTGAAAGATTAATAGAACCACCAAAACAAAACCCTAACCTTTTTCTTCTTTTTTCTTTTCTCTTCCGTCGTCCCTTTTCACGCCACACACAACACTCTATGTTTTGATTTCTCTCTCTCTCTCTCTCTCGGCTCTCTTGAAAATTCTTCCACAAAAAGTGATTAAACCTAAGTTAATATTATATCTAATTGACTATTATATTATACTATATATATAAATCTAAGTCTAAATATAAAATAACCTAATTTCCTATTACATTATATTATACAAATAAATCACAAATATAACATATATAAATATAAATATCTTATATAAAATCTATTAGTGACTCTAGATTGTGCTGGAAGGACTGTAAATATAGATATTCCCGGTATGCCATGGCTTACCCACACTTCTAGCGATGAAGAAGAGTCGGTGATGACGAGTTTTCTATGCTCGGTAGAAATCCCTAAGCAGGATATTAGTGAGGTAGATGTGGTACGTGAGTTTGAGGATGTATTTTAGGAGATACCTGGACCTCCACCTCGATGGGTAGTTGAATTTCGCATTGACCTGGTGCCGGGAACTGCACCGATTTCTAAGGTGGCATACAGAATGGCGCCTAAAGAGCTTGTGGAGATAAAGAAGTAGCTAGAAGAGATACTTCGGAAAGGATTCATTCGTTCAAGTAACTCCTCGTGGGGAGCACCCGCGATCTTTGTTTCCAAAAAAGATGGCACTCTCTGTATGTGCATAGATTACAGAGAGTTAAACAAGGTGACTATCAAGAACAATTATCCGCTACCTAGAATGCATGACTTGTTTGATCAGTTGAAGGGGGCAGCCATGTTCTCTCAATTTGATCTTAGAATGGGATACCATCAGATGGGTGTGTCAGAGGAAAGTATACTGCTTACTGCTTTTCGGACTCGGTATGGGTTGTACGAATTTCCTATAATGCCTTTTGGTCTGACCAATGCTCCTGCCTATTTCATGGACGTGATGAATAGAATTTTTCAACCGTATCTAGATAAGTTTGTGATTATCTTCATAGATGATATTCTGGTGTATTTTAAGAATAAAGAAGAACACAGAGAACACTTGAAAGTCGTGTTGCAGACTTTGAGGGAACATCAGTTATATGCTAAGTTTAGTGTCACTTTTGGGAGAAAGAAGTTTGATTTTTGGGACGTGTTGTATCCAATCAGGGGATATCGGTAGATCCTAAAAAGGTTATTGCGGTCAAAGAATGGAAGCAGCCCATGAACCCTACAGAGCTGGGAAGTTTTTTAGGACTAGTCGGTTATTACAGGAGATTTATAGAGAAGTTTTCCACTATTACAACACCCATAACCAAGTTGACCCGCAATAATGTGAAGTTCGTATGGACAGATGATTGTGAGAGAGCTTTCCAGGAGTTAAAGTAGCGGTTGACTACAACACTGGTGTTAACTATACTAGCACAAGGGCAAAAGTTAGTAGTGTTTTCTGATGCGAGTGGAACTGGGTTGGGATGCGTGTTGATGAAGCATCAGAAGGTTGTATCTTATGCTTCTCGACAGTTAAAACCTCATGAGAGACGATACCCTACTTATGACTTAGAGCTGGCAGCAGTTGTTTTTGCGTTGAAAGTGTGGCGATACTACTTGTTTGGGGAGCGCTTTGAGTTATACACAGATCATAAGAGTCTCAAATATCTTTTTTCTCAAAAAGAGTTGAGCATGAGGCAACAGAGGTGGGTTGAATTCATCAATAGTTATAATTTTGAGATCCTTTACCACCCAGGGAAAGGAAATGTGGTCGCAGATGCACTTAGTCGACAACATGGGATTATAGCTTCTTTGATGATTCAGGAATGGAAGTCCTTGGAGTTAATTTCAATGCATGATGTTCAACCAATAGAGAGTGTTGAAAGGGCATACATTGGTAGTTTGACTGTGCAGCTGACGTTACTAGGTAAAGTTCGTCAGATGCAGAATTTAGATGGGTCTCTTGTCAGCAAGCTCGATGACCTTGTAGTGGATTTGATCGATGATTGTCCTACTGATTGGTCTGTGGACTCAGATGGGGGATTGCGATTCAAGGGCAGGTTGTGTGTACCTAACATTGTTGAATTAAGGAAAGAGATTATGGATGATGCCCATAGGTCCCGATATACAATTCACCCTAGTGGGACTAAGATGTATCATAACCTGAAGAGGACGTTTTGGTGGGAAGGTATGAAGAAAGACGTAGGAGAGTTTGTTTCTCAATGTTATGTGTGCCAACAGGCAGAACACCAACGACCGTTTGGACTTTTGCAGCCTCTCGAGATCCCTACTTGGAAATGGGAGTACATCTCTATGGATTTCGTGGATGGATTGTCGCGGTCTAAGTGAGGCAATGAATCTATTTGGGTGATAGTGGATTGACTCAGCAAGTCTGCTCATTTTATTCTGATCAGTGTTCACCGAACTGCGGATAAACTAGCTAGGTTGTATATTCGGGAGGTGGTGTGATTTCATAGTGCACCAGTTTCTATAGTTTCGGATAATGATCTGTTATTTGTGGTAGAGTTTTAGGAGAGTTTTCAGCATGCTTTGGGTGCTAGGTTAGACTTGAGCACGGCTTATCATCCTCAGACAGATGGGTAAACTGAGCGGGTAAATCAGATCTTGGAGGATATGTTGAGAGCTTATGTCCTTGATCTTGGTGGTAGTTGAGAAGAACACTTACTATTGGTGGAGTTTGCTTATAATAATAGCTATCACTCCAGTATCGGGATGGCACCTTTTGAGGCTTTGTATGGGAGGCCATGTCGATCGCCTGCTTGTTGGATGGAGGTAGAAGATGCACTGTTGTTAGGGCCAGAGTTGGTGAGAGAGACCACAGAGAAGGTGAACATTATTCAGGAATGTATTAAGACTGCACAGAGTCATCAGAAGAGTTATGCTAATAGAAAATGTAAGGGGGTTGAGTTGAATGTTGGAGATTTTGTGTTTTTGAAGGTCTTGCCAATGAAGGGTATCATGCGGTTCGGAAAGAAGAGCAAGTTGGCACCTAGATTAGTGGGACCATATGAGATCATTGAGAGGATTGGTAATGTGGCTTACAAACTTGCTCTACCACCTGCTTTAGCTAAGATTCACAACGTGTTCCACGTATCTTTATTGCGGAAGTGTGTGCAAGACCCTTCCCAAATAGTATCACTAGAAGTGTTGGAGAATAGTGACGATCTAACGTATGTGGTGCGATCAGTTACTATTCTAGACCAGGATGTAAAACAGTTGCGGTGTAAGAAAGTGAACTTGGTGAAAGTGCAATGGAGCGAGAATGAGAACGATATCACTTGGGAATTAGAAGAGAAAGTTCGGCGTATGCACCCATAACTTTTTGTTTAGTACTTGTTAGGTTTTTATTCTTGGTAACCCCGTTTGACAAAACTCCTTTAAGTTGTATTTGTTTTCGTACTTTTTATTTCAGTGAAACTATGAGTGTTTAGATGCGAATCCAACCCGAATTGTGCCTTGCAGAGAAGTTTGTGATATTAATACTTTCAAGATTGCCACTCCACTGATTATGACGGGGATCGAGCTGCCCGGTCAGCTCACGGGGGTCCAGGGGGCAGCGCCCCTTGGCGGGTCCGGGGCAGCGCCATGGCAGGGTTGAGGGGCAGCGCCCCCCAAAGCAAAATACAAAAATGCATTCAAAGTTGCCTCCCCACTCGAGCGGAGAATGCTGAGTTCCAGAAGTTTATTCGCCTGCAAAAATACTGGATGTTGCTTTTTCCCACTCGAACGGAACTTTCCGCGCTCGAGCGTAGGTCCGCTCGAGTGGCCAATCCGACGCTCGAGCAGAGATCGCGGGACAGTTTTGTATAAATACGTGTTTCAGTCCAAATCTAGGATTACTTCTCCAAATCTTCTTTTTGGATATTAAGGTTTATATCTGGAGATATTTTGCTAGTGTTCTTTGATGTTTTGATTGAGTATTCAACTCATGGTTTAAAGAGTATATATCAAAAGATTATTTGTTTGTTCTACACAAAAGAGCGAGTTGTTCTTCGGTGGATTCTGAAGAATACGAGCCTAAAGCTTTGGTGGATTCTGGAGTGGTTCATCGTCAAGACAATTCCGAGGTGAAGACGGGGTTGGAAGAGGCACATAGAGGTTGGTTCAATTCGGGAGTGGATTCGCTAGGTACTTGAGAGTATACTTGTGTAATTCCTTTATATCTTCTTAGTGGATTGTTTTGTGGCTGTTGCCCGTGATTTTTTTTATCACAATTGGAGGTGTCCAATTGTGGTTTTTTCACGTAAAATTATTGTGTCGATTTGTTTTGATTGTTTGATTGGGATTGTTATATACTGCTTAAAATTGATACATAATCAAAAATCAACATCTAGGAGATTTCTAGATTTTTCAATTGGTATCAGAGCGGGTTGCTCATTTATTTTTTAAAACTTTTGAGCGAGATCTTGTTGGATTTGTGATAATGGATTCAATTCGTGAGGGAAATTTTATGGTTCGACCACCCTTACTTGACGGATCCAATTATTCTTTTTGGAAAACTCGGATGAGATCGTTTTTGAAATCTATAGATGAAAAAGTTTAGCAATCTGTCATGAATGGGTGAACTAAACCAACAATTACCATTGATGGAGTAACTTTTCCCAAACCAATTGAAAAGTGGGACACAATTGATTACCAAAATAGTAGCTGGAATAGTAAAGCTATCAATTCTCTCTTTTGCGCTGTCACAACTGAAGAGTTTAGTCATATTTGCAATTGTGAAGTCGCAAAAGAGGCTTGAGATATCTTACAAACTATTCATGAGGGCACTCCTTCTGTTAAACGCTCAAAACTTCAAAGACTCACATCTAGTTTCGAAAACCTTTCAATAAAAGA